TCTCTCTGTTCATGATGAATTAAATGTTTCACATAATTCATTATTTGAATATTTTTTAATAAGATTGATAACATCAATCAACATTAATTTAATTAACTATTCGATAACTTGCATCCATAATAATGACCAAACTCACAACACACTGCCTGTTCCCGTTTTAGGTTTATTTTATTTATAAATTCTACCCTGTTGGGTGAAGCTACAGGCAGAATCAGATTCTGTGGGAAACGCTGAGTAAGTTAAGTACTTTTGGTAAGAAGCCATCCAACTTGGCAAAGATGGGACATAATTTGCACATGCATGAATAATGTTTAGGATAAACAGGAAAACTCACCTTGTTGGTAGATAAAGACCAGTGCTGAAACTCCCGAATACTTGGACCTGGAAAAGTAAAAACAAGCATGAGTGAATACATAAAATAGGAATGATTTTTAGGATGAAAAATTGTGTCACTTTATTCAAAAATTATGTTTGTTGCAATGTTTCTTTATAGGCCATGAAATTGGATTGAACCATCAACAGTAAWTAGTGTTGTCAGACTTTCCCAAGATGTTTCTGAGTTACAAAACTTGTTATGCAAATTGTCCAGAAATGATCACAGATTTGCGTAGTGTTGATACACTGACAAAACCAAAAATTTTTTTTACCAATGATGTCAAGTAAAAAGTTGCACCAATATCTAAAATAAATACTTTATAGCCCCTTAATTTGCTAAACATCCTTTGTTTTGTGTCATAGTCTCAAGGATGTTTTTCATAAAACAACTCTAGCCACTGATCTCCTAACCTGCATACTTCTAAGAGCACATAAATATCCTCCAAGTCTCCTTTCAGCCTCCCACGCTGTAAGGCTCAAATAGAGTTAATCCTTGACCCTTGTTTAACTCCCTTTAACCTCTTCCCCACATCCCCAAGTAGTGTAAACTCTGGTTTACAGCCTGGTCACATGGTCAGGTCTAAGCTGATCATAAAGCTGTGATTCTGAATGAAGTCCTGAAAACATGAGTGACAGGCTGCATGTAGTCTCGAAGGTTAGCTGCACTTTTTTTTCTTGTTATGATACACTTAGGCCAAACTTTTACAGCTGGTTATATATTAATTTTAGGTCTGAAACACTTAACAAAAACAGCCAAAACAAGTACCATGAGTAGATGACCTCACTGCCTCTGCTCCCAATGAAATGAACAAAGCTGCCCAGGATTGGAGGAGTATTGTACCCCTTAAATATGCCCTTAAGATCAGAGCAGACACATGTAGAAACTCACTGCTGTATCAGCAAGATCAAAGTCAGGAGATTGCAATAAAGTGGCTCTGATAGCATGAGCCAAGTAGTACTGAGGTGCAGGGAGATAAAGAACCAGGCCCAATTTGTTGCCTAATATCATGTTCAGCCTAAATGCAGTGTGAACCTGTAGTAAAAGAGCTGGTGCTAACAAGTTACCCACAATTTTAACTGTTCTCTAAACTGATTTAAGGTGGAGTTTCTTGTGACAACTGTGGGTGRTAAGTGCAAAAAATGAGCCCCCACAGAGTATGTACGGTGTTTACCTCTGCACTGGGCCACAAGTCGTAAATGACTCCCTTGATTCTGTCTACCACCTCCAGTCTCATTTTCTCCTCCTCTGGTCGTGGGGAGATGTACTCATAGAAATCCTTGATCTCCTCGTGCAACCTGCAAAGTGGACACAGAGAAAACAGACAGCAGTGAGACGGATGAAATCACACCAGGAAACAAAGTTCATGTCCTCTACCACAAATGGGGCATCTTTATCTTATGTTGTGCTGATTTAAGCCAACACAATCATCTATAGATTTCATCATCATCTTGATGAAAACTTGTTGCTTGTAGTTGCAGTTGTAAAAAAAGACTCAGAGATTGGCAATCATGGTAAATAAATGATGGCACCTCTGCCTAACAGTGACATTCCTCTAGAAACAAGAGAACCCATCCAGCAACAGAAAGAAAGAGTGAGGAATAAACAGAACAAGAAAAGCCCTCTGCTGTGTCCCGTTACAAAATGTCACAAAAGTTAACTCAAGAGGAACTGGCAAATCAAGGGTACCTTATTTGTCCTTGGTGCAGGTCAATGTGCCCACACATGTTGACCTTTTCAATGAGCAGTTTTGTTCTCACACACACAAACACACAAGAACAAATCTGTGGGTGGACAAACGAAAATGCAAACACACGCACAGCCACAAGGACCTATGTATATGTGAACCATTAAATCAGAGATGAAATTGGATTAGGTTAAACCAAAATGTGCGCATTTTAAAGCTATATTTTGACACCTAGATCATACTAATATCATGACCGGCTCCAGAGATATGGCTCTATTCTTCTTGCCAATTGGGAGACCCCAAGAAAAATCAGTGTGAATCCTATTTTTTTGCATATTATAAAGATTTGACGTCATTTGAAAGAGGAAACCTCAGATTATACTTGGATATTGGAATTTTTCAGCCATTATTGAAAGCAGCTTCACTTGTCTGCAGGAAAAATGGGGAAAATTGGCCTTTTCTGCTCAAAATTATCATTATTACTTTTTGGTACTGCTTAATAGTGCTTCAAAACATTATTTAGGATACAGTTTCCTTCAAGTTACCTATGGATACGGTAATATTTCAACAATAACAAAATACTATTGATGCAAACTTTTCTTCTCAAGCACTACAGCTGCAGCACACACATTAAACTGCTTTTCACACGAGATCGAAAACAGGTTACCTATCCCAAATGTGAAAGACTATTTCAAGCCTTTCAAGCCTTTGTAAGTAGAATAGGTCTACAAAAACAAGCATACCAGTGGGTTGGACCAACCCTTGCTGCCATCAACAGAGACTGACTGCTGTGTGGCAACACCTCAAAAAGCAAGTAGTGTGCAGGGGGAGACATAACCATTGTTTAGGTTGTTTGAGACAACCTATTTTCATTTCGGACGACCATATCCTGTCTCTTGGTTGTCCGATGGACAACCAAGCAAAAAAGACCTTGATTAAAGTTCTCTGCCGTGGGTGTTTGTCATTGTAAAAATGAAAGGGAGAAAAAACTTGGTAAAACCAAACAGAACACTAAACTGTAACTTTTAATAAGGTCATGTACACATTATACTCCTATTTAAGTGAAAATGTTTGATCTATGAGCAGAAAGAAGCTTATGAATGTTGGGTAACCTCTAGATTTTATTAGCAACATTTTTGCTGCTTTACTCCCTGAGCCTTAAATAATCTACTTCAATGAAGAGAATGAGGGAGTTTTATTCACTTAGATCCTGTCAACCTGCCTGACTGAGAACAATTATGATATATAATAAACTTTTTCTATAGATCAATATACTTGTTAAATTACATTTTTTGTCACCACATTGGTACAAAAGATGTATGGGG